ACCAAACCCAATCCGCCGAGAACCACCTCAGAAAGCAGCGCCGTCCCAAGCAACCGCCGACGAAGCGACTCCAGCAGCCACCACGGCTTTCTCTCGCAACACGCACCTCCACAGCTCCGATCCACCACCATGAGCCCAGATCTGACACGAAGGACAGCATCTCCGGCGAAGACCGTCAAACCGACGAGAGGAAGCTAGAAAGGACAACTACGGGAGAAAGAAGCCCTCCCCGGCGCCGGAAGGGCAAGCCGGAGAGGCAAACCGGAAAACCAGAAAAAGAGATTCTAGAGAGAGGCGAGAGGGTTTCTAGAGAGAGAGAGAGGTGGTCTTTTAAGTTAAACCGAATTATATTTTGGTTTGGTTTAGTTCAGAAGTATGCAAATTCGGTTCAACTAGGGTGTAAGGAAGATCGAAAAAATAGTTCTTAGGAACTGATCGGCAGCTGGATGCACTCATATAGCATGGGTTGAATATGTATATCAAACCTAATCCACATGTCTTTGTTCGGAGTTGTTGCGACTAAGCCCGGCCCCTCCAAAAGCAAAGTACTTGCTTTAGGCCATAAAATATATTGCTAATCAAAATACCACATTTGAAAATTATCCATTTGGCTTGATGGTTAAGTAGTCCTATGTTCACTACAAATTGTACAAGTTCAACTTTTTTTTTCTGGTAACACAAGTTCGAATCTTTCCCCGGTACTTATTGCGTTTTTTCTTCCAGCACTCATCTTCCTTTGTTTTTTTTGTCCGTGGGCACTTTCCTTTTTCTTTCTTTATCCTTTTTCAGTTCACTTATTGTTTAATAGTTTGATTTCTTTTCTTTTTCTTAGGCGAGAAAAATCTTTTATATTTGGTTTATATAAATAAGAGATTTGTTTCTTATTCAACAAAAAATTATCCTCGACAAATCTATAAATTTGCCGCAAATACATTTGGAAGAGTTAATTTCATAAGGAATTGACTGTTTTACAATTTTTAAAAATATTTAATGATATTTAATACTTTTGTAATATTTAATATAAACTTTTTAATCGTTAACTAGATTTTAACCAGCGGTACACCGCGGGATGATTTATTTTTTAAAGTTAGTATATATAAAATTTTATAAATTATATCTCCTTATAAAATATTTATGTTTTATAATTTATAATTATTATCAAATAACGGTATATCACGAGTTCACAGAACAATAATAAACTGAGGATTTAACTCATATTAAAGCGGCATGTTAATGATATTTTAAAATTTTATAAATATTGATTCAAACCCGTTCGCCATATAAATCCGTTCCAAAATATAACCCATCCCATAATTTTTTAACCCGTCCCGTGATTTGTTTTCTAAAAATAGTGATTTTAAAATTTAATGATTTTTTATTATATATAAAGTTTATAAATTGTATCATTCTCTCAGACATTTATATTTTAATAAACTAAGGATTGAATCTGTATTAAAGCGACATGTTAATGATATTTTAAAATTTTATAAATGTTGATTCAAACTCGTCCACCATATAACCCGTCATGTAATTTATTAACCCGTCCCGTAATTTGTTTTCTAAAAGTAGTAATTTTAAAAAATTTAACGATTATTTATTATAGATAAAAGTTTGTAAATTGTATCATTTTCAAAGACATTTATATTTTATAGTTTACAATTTTTATTACGTAATATTATACCACGGGACAATTTTTGATTTTATAAAATCTTTTCTAAATGAGACTGATTTGATATGTCTAATATTGGTGGTATTAAAAAAAATTAATGATTTACTCCGTATTGAAGCGGCGGATTAATGATAGTTTAATCTTTTTATTATTGTTGATTCAAAAACCCGTCCGGCCAAAAACTCATTTATTTTATTAATGTTGATCTTATTTATGATATGATTCTGAATCATTTTCTAAATATTTCAATCGATGTAGAACGTTGAACACACATTTTCGTCAATTAGATAAGATATGTGCGTTTTTAAAATTTTGAATCACAGTATATGCAGAAATAAAATTGATTTTTTTTTTACTTTATGTATTATATGATGATTCAAAACAGTTAAAAACAAATCAACCAAAGATGATAGGAGAATCATAATTCTAAATCTTAATCAAATCTTCTAAATATCTAAATTATTAAATATGGAATATCCGGTGTATGAGTTGGGTTAAATATAATCCGACCCAACAAATTTTTTGTGAAGGATTTTAAAAAACGGGTCGGATATCCGATTAACCCAGAATGATTTTTAACCACCCGTCACCAAAATGTTACAAAAATACTAGTATAGATATTTATATAGAAGGTGCTTTAGAGTTTAGACCATCTAAAACATAGGACTGGCCCTCGTTGCCACAATCAAGCATACATATCTTGATAAATGGGCGTATGATTATTTCCTCTATTAGCTTAGAAAAATCTTTGTAAAAGCTCTTAAATCTTGTTAGGTTCTAGAATTGTTATTTTTGTTGGATTTTAAGTGTGATTAATAAAATTTTGACGACAAAAAAATAGAAATGTTAAAGACAAAGAATTCTCATATGATATAGAATATAAAACAAACCTAGATTTATTTTAATTTTTATGTAAATTCTTACTCAAATACAACACAAATTTGGTTTAATCAAAAAATGTTGAGGGTAACAATATTTGACACTGGTGTTTAAACTGAATAACTTTCGAAAGGATTTTTCCAACCAACGCATATATTAGGGTTGAAGATTTTTATACTTTTTTCTTATATTGGTTTTTATGTAACCTACTGTCTTACAAATGAATTTAACTAAAATTACTCGGATCCATCAAACGTTCTTGTACTTCTATATATACATTTTTGGAACACTTTTAGCAAATAAATCCTGGGGTTGGGCAGTATTTACAAAGAATGTCATCGGCATTTATTATTACTTTTACAAAATTTAAATAAAAGATATTAACCAGACAATATCTTGCCTAATTTGTTTCTAAAAATCTCCACACAATCTTTCCATATATCTTAAAAACTTTTATAGCAAATATTTATATTAACATTTTACATAGCAATAAAAATACTAATTTATATTAATCAAAATATTCACATAGAAAAATCAAATACACATACAGGAAAAAGAACTATATCTATCATCATTTAAGCCGTTGCTTTATTTAAATAAATAAAAAAAACACAAAAACTTGAAATCATATACTTTATATGATAAATTTAAAATATATATTAGTAGTATAAATTTAAAATCGTTCAAAGAACGGTATACTACGGTGAGATCCTAAAATTATTAGATTTTATAACAATAATAATTTATTTTCTTGGATTTTATAATACTAATAATTTTGCTAACGAGATAATATAGACGGATTTATATGGGATGACGGGTTTGGGTCGATATTAATAAATAACGGTATATCACAGATGAAATCCTAAAATTAAAAATCAAGATACAATTATACAATCTTAAACACAAAACAAAAGAAACAATATTAACAGAACAAATCCAACTTAAATTTAAAATTTTTAGTTATAAAAAAAAACCGTCCCACAGTATACTGCAGAGTAAAATATTCAAAATTTTAAAATCCACCATACATCGTTACTTAAAAAAAATGTATGTTTACGTATCTATACTTCAAAAATTGATAGATAGATATCTACATTTAAAAATACAAATTAATATGATATATCTTCAGTTAATCTTTTAAAAAATAACATTATATTTTTTTTAAAAATATAGCCCCGCGGTATACCGCGGGTTATATTCTAGTTATCACATATTTGTATACCTATAAAAAAAGAGTTTCTTATTCTTACTCTTTGATATATATACTTAAACTACATCTTTATTTGGGTGTATAGCTCAGTTGGTAGAGCATTGGGCTCTATTAGCCCATAGGGTATACTCTCAACTTAGGAAGCACGGAAGCTTCGTCGGATGTCCGCTTCCCGCTTCGGAATCTTAGTCGGAATCGGAAGCTCTCGGAAGCTTTCAGAATCTCGCTTCCATAACGCTTCTAAAAAATTCATTTTGGAAGCTCCTTGGAAGCTTACGATTCTATTTTGGAAGCTTGCGATTCCATTTAAAAAAATTTGATGTCACAAAATAAATAAGAAATATGAAATTATCTTTGATAGTTTTTTTATACAACAAAAGAAAAACCAAAACTAATTTTGCATACTAATTTTGTATTTTATGTTTTAAAATATCATAGTTAGAAAAATGATAGAAGCATGGATCATTTATTAGGGAGATGTTGAAATGATTAATTGAATTAAATTAATTTCGAGAAATTTGAGTTTGATGATGTTTTTATTGGTAAAAAAAAATTAAAACAATTTTATTTGATGGAATTAATAAAATGAGAATGAAGAATGATCTTAAATTTTTGACTTTTCTCTATTGTAAACGTACACTATTTGATTTTTAAATATAGAGAGATATTTAGAATTTATGTATTAGATTTGTATGTTAATTATAATTTTTTATATGATATAATGTTTAATGTTTATTATATATATATATATATATATATATATATATTAATTTTTATATACGCTTTCAACACGTACCCATTTTCTATAATTTCTATAAAAATCGCTTCCACGTTTCCAAACGCTTCGCTTCCGCGTACCCGCTTCTGATTCCATGCAACCTAGCTCTCAACCATTACTTGCCCTTTACTAGATTGTCACTACCAACTTAGATATATTTTACTTTATCAAACAAACAAAAAAACTTAGATATATTTTACACAATAATCTTTGTTTGAATTTTGTAGTTTATTCATATTTTATACAAATTGAGTGAATTTTTAAGACATAAGTTATTTTATCTTAAATAACAAGTTGGTTACTAGATATAATAAATAAACTTCTACAGATAAGTTAAAATGAAAATGTAATTGAAAAATTGAATAGTTTCTTTAACCTTCATTTATAACAAAACCGTTGATTAAAAAATTAACTCATGTGTAACTTAAGTAAAACAGTATATAAATATGACAATGTATGCTTTTAATAGCTACACAACGAAAAGTCAAACAATTGGCAATAGAAATTCAATAACCTTTATTTTTCTTTGAAATATTTTCGAACTCCTTCAATCAGAATGAGGACAATTGTTTTGTTTTCAACTCTTGCTCTTCTAATTCTTGTTTTGTCATGTAAGTTTAATTTTTATTAGTGACGATACTATATATGTACATTTGTTTTTATTTTCTTGAAATATTAATTTTGAAATTTAATATATCTATATGCATATACTTTGGAAATAATGTAGGTGCGTCAAATATCAAGGCAGAATCTTTGGAAGATCATCTTCCACCGGATGAACATCTTGGACTTTCACATGCTACCAACTTAATTGGTTTCTGTCAAGAATGTGCACATCATTGTTTGAGAAAAAAACGAGTTATTGGCGATTGTCGAAAGTTTGTTTGTCATTGCTCTAAAAGAACTATTGGTGTAGGACTGTAATTTTTCCGAAATACTTACATATAAAATAAATAATAAATAAATTATTTTTTCAAGTTAAAATTATCTTTTCGTATTAAATTTATACTATATATCATTTTTAATAGTCCAAATGTTATGTATATATGCATTGGACATATATATATATATATATATTTAATAACAAAGTAGTACCGTTAATTAAATAGTCTTATTATATAAACCAAAATTATGAAAAATTAAGAAAAACATTTCTTGATGAAACTCCAGTTTTCTTATTTCATTAGATACATAAAATTCTACATAATTTATATATAGTTATGTATTTTAATGCTTTTTTTAATTTTTTTTATGAGAATAAATTTATTTTTTAAAGGACCATGTGATATTACAACAAACAAAAATTCTGGTTTTCATGTTTTGAATGTCTTTTTTTTTTATATATCACTAGTAACTACACGCAACACACATTTCTAAGTTTCTAACATTGGCAATGGAGGAGCCAGAAATATTTTTTATGTGGCTCGTATATATAAAATTACTTATTAATATTATCAAATATATTATTTCTATTTAATTATATAATAATATATCTAAAGTATAATAGTGTTGCTTAAATAGTCTTAACAAAATTCAAAACATTTTTACCTTAAAAGTAAAATATCTATTGTGATCACTTTTTTGGGTTAACAAATATATTTAAAAAGATTTGAAAAAAAAAAAGGTAGAGGAAAGAAGAAGTTAAAACGAATGTACGTTGAAAACATACATAAGAAAAATATGTAGAAAGAGAAGCAAAAACAGAAATTAGCATGTAGGAAGGTTAGAGCTTTTTATTTAATAAAGAAGTTGAAGATGTGGAAGCCCCCTTGGCCCATTGGTTGATCAAGGGTTCATTAATGCTTTTACACCCAGAAGTCTGGGGTTCGAGTCCCGGATACTGCCGATTTATTAATAAATTTGCAGATTATTGGTGGCAAGTGTGCAGAAGATCTCCAACGATGTACAATTATAGCCGTTCGCCAGGATTTTACGCAGAGAAGGAAGTGTCCATCAAAACCATGAAGGAGGTGAGCATGAAGAAGGAAGTGTAAGAGGTCGTGGATCTAATAAGGGTCAGAAGGAATTGTCCGTTGTAGAATCGTCTATGTAACAGTTCTCCTAATTTGCAATAAATAATTAATCCAGATGACAAAAAAAAAAAAAAAGTTGAAGATTTAGTATTAAATAGACAGTATTACACCAATTACCTTGTTTACAGATTTAGGATTTGTTGTTTCAAATCTGTCGTTAGATCATACTAATTTCGAGTATATATCACTTTAATTTGTCCTTTCACACAAATTCCGGAGACTAAAGTTTCATGTGCAGCTGATTAGTAATCGATCAGAAAGATATACATACAAAAGCTATGCACCACATTATTATTTAAATGGCCTAAGTAAGTAAGTAGTCTATTTCTAGGTTGCATGGAATCAGAAGCGGGTACGCGGAAGCGAAGCATTTGGAAACGTGGAAGCGATTTTTTTAGAAATTTTAAGAAGTGGGTACGTGTTGGAAGCGTATATAAAAATTAATATATATATATATATATATATATATATATACATATATAATAAAACATTAAGCATTATATAATATTAAAACATATAATTAACCACGTAAATCTAATACATAAATTTTAAATACTTCAACTACAAATAAAAACCAAATAGTTTATTTTTACAATTAATAAAAATAAAATAGTTCAAAGTCAAAATTTTAGATCACTATCTTCACTCTCATTTTCTTAATTCCATCCAATAAAATAGTTTCAAATTCTATTTTATCGATAACACATCATCAAATTCAAGTTTCTCAAAGTTTATTTAAGTCAATTATTCATTCCAACATTTTCCAAATAAATAATTTATGTCGTGGTTATTTTGTTAAGCATGATCTTTTAAAAATAAAATAAAAAACTTAGTATGCAAAAATTTAAATTTTAAATTAGTTTTGGTTTCTTTTAATTGTAAAAAATACTATAAAAAATAATTTCATGTTTCTTATTAATATTTGATTATCAAATTTTTTAAATGGAAACGTAAGCTTCTAAAATGGAATCGTAAGCTTCCAACGAGCTTCTAAAGTAAATTTTTTGGAAACGCTATGGAAACGAGATTCTAAAAGCTTCCAAAAGCTTCCGATTCCGACTAAGATTCCGAAGCGGGAAGCGGACCTTCGACGAAGCTTCCGTGCTTCCTAGGTCTATTTACAAGTAAGCGAAAGTGTTAATGAAGCGAAATCTTCATTGTTGAAGCAGTTTTGGTACGAACTTAGTTAACAAAGTGATCTCATCCTTAGAAATTTTCACCTTTTTCCTCTCCTCTCCAAACCTAATCTGACACTTTTTTCCATCGTCATCTTCGCAATCGTCCTTGTTTGTAACTTCGATATTCGCGATGGCTTCAGAGATGTCCTTGACCATATCAACAATCACTCCCTCCACACCCATCAGATATTGTAAGTAAATCACCTCCACCACATTGCTGAAATAATCAAAGATTGATTGTTTCAGAGGAAAAACAGAGGAGGCGAGAGAGAAATGACAACGATATGAAACTCGGGAGGAGTTTACTTAAGCTGGCCATAAGATAGAAGTGAAAGTTTTGAATCTTTGACTCGTGTGATTGCGTTTGGTGTTCTTAATATGGCCTTAACCTCAGATACAATCCCTTGCAAACCGCTTTCTTTGCAAAGCTTTATGGCCTCGTCTAATGAGTTCCTTCTCACATCCTTATAGATTTCACATCCACCATTTGTTAAGAAGAATACCTGAAAAAGTATATATGCATTTCCAAGTACAAAAATTAAGCCTTAATAGTCGACAATGGAGAAAATTATAACCAAAGAAGCAATCTTACAGGATAATTCCTTTGCATATTTCTAATGAGTCGAACCGCATGAGGATGAAAGCTCGAGAAGATAATGGGCCGGTTCTTGGAATGCTCATTTACAACCTGTTCATGTAAAAGATTGAGATTGCTGATCGACATAAGAAGATTAGACGGGTGAACAATCAGTCTTTTACCTTCAAGATGTTGTCAAGAGTTTGACGTAACTCTTCTTCTCCATAAACGGTATTATCATCGAATTTGAGCTCGATATTGAATCCGAGTGAGTGTTTAACTTTTACGAAAGCTTCTTCAAGGGTACACAAAGGAGCATCCTTTTCGACTGTCCATTCGAAAACTCTACCATCTTTTGTCTTTCTCAACATAGGCTTTACATTTGTTCCATCCTCTTGTGGTCCATATGAGAGAAATTCATGTAAAGCCATTTCTGTTACTCTTTTCTCAATAATCACTCCCTGAAAAGGCATTTCCGTTTGCTAATATGAAAACTTAGACTTATCTATAAACAAGAAGATTGTTTGTGTGATAAATTTAAAATTATAACCTGTTCTTGCGTGAACATAAAGATATCATGGAAAATAACAGGGCAACCATCTCTTGTTACCTACAAAATGTAGTTACTTTCTTTATTTAAGATGCCATTGTTTCAAATCATAAATATGCATTTACATTTGAAGCAAACTTTCACTTAAAAAGAATTACCAACACTGAATGCAAAATGGAGTATCTCCTTCCATAGTCGTTTACACGTAAAATTGACAAAATAATTTATTGAACACTACAAGTTGTGGTTTCAGTTGGAAAAAAACACCCTCTTATTTTAGTTTCTTTTATAATCAGGATACCAAAATTCATGTTAGTTTTGGAGTATGTGAAAACAAGATTTTTTTGCCAATTAAGGGGGTCACAGTGACATTGGCCAACCATGATTGAAACCATAGTAGGAAGACCGAACCATAATCCCCCAATCTACATAATAGCAAAAGCTAGCTATTAGAGCACTCATAAGGCCCAAAACAAACCGAACAATATTACCCAATACAAGTTCAGAAACCATGTAATAAGGGTTCTTAGCAAGACGAGGATTCATATCTTGTGATAACATTATTGTCTATACTCTTGAGAGTTGCCTCCTCCTTTTCCTTAAAAGAAATATCAAATCTAAAATCATTTTGATCTTGGTAACAATCCAAAGTTCATTTCCTTTACTTTTCCTTGCACTAAATAAAGCTTTAAAAAGCTATTTCATTTCATTCTCATTTTCTATGTTGTCTTTCTAGCTTAATAATAAATCCTACTAGATTTGGATTCTCCTACAAAGGAAAATGCAAACTGATTAAGTGAGGCCAAATCATGACCTTGTGTGTTTTTTTCTAAAATAATTACATGAGGGTTTTAACAAATATCATGTCATTGTTTAATATAAGTATATGTAATAAGGGTCGGAAGGAATTGTCCGTTGTACAATCGTTTATTTAACCGTTCTCATAATTTGCAATAAATAATAAATTCAGACGCTAAAAACATATATTCTTTATTGACACCACGTGTTTTTTTCCCCAAATTTAGCCAAACATTTGGCTATCTAACAAATAAGCCAACCAAATAATTAAGGCCAGATCATTGATCTAATTTGTGTTTTTTTTTTCTTGATGGAAACAAAAAAATGATCAAGATTCTAGGGGTAAAAGCAAACCTGGACATCGAACTCAATGAAGTCAATAGGGAAATCTGCAGCAACACTGAAAGAAAGAATAGAATTTTCTTTGATAAATTTCATTTTCTCGTCTGGAGATTGAAGCATGTTCATCCCAAAACCTCTATGACCCATCACAACAAATTTGGGGAAAACAAATGCTTCTTGCTTCTTATCATCTTCAACAACACCTTTAAAATCAACACACAAAACCAATCATAACCAAAAAGAAAAAAAACACAAAAACATAAGGTTTTGCATGAACCCATTTGATTTATTATTACCTGATGAAAACATGGCAGAATTGGATAAAGACAATGTCATAGCTTCAAGAGCCATGGTTTAGTTTCTTGCAGAACAAAGATTTATATTAAAGACATGGGTTTAAGATTATATGAGCAATGATGGTGAAACCAAGAAACAGAGGGAATCTCCATGACATGACAAAAGCATATTCCATTCGATACAAAAGAAGAATGCTCTAGATATCGAATGGAATAATAATCCATTCGCAATAATCTTCAAGCTTTTTTCTTTTTGTTGCCTCTAAAAGAACTTTTCCTGTTGAATTTTATTCTATCTGATTTTTTAGTTATCTTTTGTTTGTCCATTTTCTGGATGATTCTATTTATAAGACAGATGGAGAGAGATTAATTTAGACAAGTAGCTACGCATACACTTAAATAAAAATAACTTTTTTTTGGGGGGGATTTTGTTAGTTAATTTAGGTAGATTCTTCATTTTTAGATTTCTGTATTAGTTTTTTAGAATTTTTTTAAAAACACATCTACATGATTAATTTTTAGATTACAATTTTTTTTTTTAATAAAGAACTTGTAGTAGATTGCTTATAGGCAGAATAACAAATATAAAAAAAATACAACATTTCATTGCATTTGGAACCAAATGTTTTGCATCAATTGTAGTGTTTTGACATTGTTGCAGAAGAGGCTTGATATAATGATATTGGATACATCATAAATACTCTGTCACTACAAGCTTTCAAAGCTTATATATTTTGTGTCCTCAGGATACTGTCTTCTTGTTCTTGAAGGGAGACAGTATTGAAAAATGGCGAGAAGCTTGAAAAAACGCAGAAGAAAAATGAACAAAGTGAGTAAACTTTCTTTAGACTCGCATCAGTTTATCAAAGATCAATAGAACGCGAGACCTGGCTTAAGACTATTAGATCAAAGTATAAAATCACAAAGTTTCAAGGAAAAGAAAAGGGTTGTTTACTTACATTTCTGTGAAGCGGCTGCTGCTGTAGGTGTTTCGTCTTGAGATATGAGCTTCTTCAGTGTAAAAGCTGCATAACAAAATAGAAACTTAAATAGTTAAGGTACACAAGTCATGATTATCTTATTCTCTGTCCCAAACCATATTCAACTTCAACAGACCATATTGATGTGAAAAATGAAGGCTTTTGCTGTTATGGGACAATATAAGTTAAATCCTAGAGCAATACTTCAGTGGAACAAACTCCTAAATATCTCTTACAAGAAAGCAAACCATATATATGTTTGCTTCTGTGTAACTACCGAAAAAGATTGAAGGATGTAACAAGGATTTACCTTCACTTGTCGTGGCAGCAGTGACAGCTGGTTCATGATCCTCGATGCTATTAAAAGATGCATTATTAGACTCGGTATGGTGTTCACTTACGGAAGAAGACTGACTCTTTTTTCCAAATTTCAACAGTTTTCTAAGCCCGTTTGACGCCGACTCTTTTGTTTGAGATTTCTCTAAGGCCTCACTTATCTTCTTCTCTGGTACAAGGACTTTCCCAGTTTCTTGCTCTGTCTCATTTGAATATAACCTTGGTGGAGGTGCTTGGGAACAGTCTGAGTACACTGTACAAGGATCTTCTAAAGAAGAAACCCGAGCATATGGAGCTTCATATGGTTTCGCAACGATACTTTGACTTGTCAGAAACTTTGGTGTTTCTGTTACTAAGTCACTCAGAGTCTCCAATCTAACCTGAAACCAAAATAACCATTCTTGTCATCAAAACCGTTTAAACAGAAAATAAAACTGACCCAGCTAGAATAAGAGTACTTACTAAGACTAGATCACTGCCACTCTCCTGCATTGTTTCAAAGGCTTCCTTATCAACTACTTGACGGATGGTGGTGTTTTCAGAGACTACATCAGACTTCTCGTGTTTCACCTGATCTGTACTTATACTTCGAGCTGAGCTTGGCAACACCATCACTACTGTCTTCTCAATCACTGGAGTTTCTTCAATATCATTTTGGCACAAGGATTTGTTCTTGTTACCACTTGGTTGAATCTCAGAAGCTGAAGATTTGAGTTTCTCGACCCCTTTCACCATAACATTAGTAGGACCTTTGGCTGGTTTTATCTTCAGTTCCGGAAGAGATGCAATTTTCGCTATATCATAGTTAACAATGGCAGATAGTTTCTTTATCTCAGGAGCGTCAGATGCTTTTCTTGATGCTATTGTGCGCCGTGGCCTCACTGACGAACTTGGTGCACTATTGTTACCCATTTTTGGTTCTGATAATCGTCTTGTCCTTGAAACCGACTTGTTCTGCGTATCTAGACTAACTCTGGTTTCCCTCTTAGACAGAGGTAATGGTGAAATCGACCTGGTTAGCCTATTTCCTGTTGCTATGCTTTCTCTCTTAGATGGAGGTAACGGTGATATCGACCTTGTTAGCATATTTCCTGTTGACTTACTTACGGTACTCAATTTACCATTCTTGGGGAATTTCTGATAGTCATTTGACCCTAAAGAAGCAGTTCTTCTGGAAAGACGTTGAAGAGGTGATAATGATCCTGGTTCTGAGTCACTAAACTTAGAGGCTCGAGGAGCGCCGGGAGAAAACTTGTTTAGAATTTGTTTTTTTGCTTGTTGTGCAGGCAACTGTGACTGACCTACAGCTGAGTTGCTTTTAGAAGCAATCCGCTTCTGCCTTTCTATTTTCAGACCTTCGATGCGCTTCCTCTCTTCCTCTTCCTAAAACAAGAAAGGATGGTAATAAGAGTTTATGATGCAAATTTTCAACCACAAGTAGGCTTATATCCTTTGAGATTGTGCTTTCTAGATGATTCGTAAAACAAAGCAATTCTATCATCAAATTGTTTAAGCCGAGATTTTACCTTCTCCTTTTTCATTTTCTGGAGGTCAGCTTTGAAATTTCTAAGCTTATCAGCACGTGCTCTTGCTTCATCTAAAGGACTCATCTTTGTCGGTCTTCCTTTCCGTATTGGCCCCGGAGCCTTCCTCTTATCTGCAGCATCTTTAGAAAGTCTCGATTTTGGATCTTTCACTAACTTCTTAGCACCTCCAGCTGCCAGGTTATTCTTCTTTAAAGCTTTGGATCCAAACTCTAGTGCAGGATCATACCCAGCTGATAACTTCTCTGTTTCCCGTTCTGGTATCAGACTCAGATCATGAGGCTCGTAATTGACCTGCTTTCTTTCATTTCCATCAGTTTGGTGGCATGGAGAGATCTCTGATCCGATGTCCATGGCATTTCTCTTATTTCTTCCCGCTTCATCCAGTGGTGCAGAACCCCGAGTAACGATATAAGAATCATCATCCATGTTAAATGATGATCTCTTATCCAGACCATTCCTTGGATTATCAAATCCTAAGTTGAGAGGATCAGAAGAATTCACAAAACCATTTTCTCTCTGGTGAACCATGAAAGAGTCACTAGATCCCCTGATTCTACGAGTCACACTTCCATTCCGAATATCAGCTGTATCCCTTTCTTGATATTTTCCTGATTCACGTTCATCATGTGCTAAAGGATCATACTTCCCTGTACTTTGCCTCTTCTTCCTTGTAATCTCCTTTTCCATCATATGGCCAATGGTACGTTCATCTCTATCGGCATCTTGCAATAAATAAGTCTGAAAGGCCTGCCAATCCCCAGTGTCAGCTTCTTTTCCTTCTATTGCTCTCTCTTTACCATTGTAACATTCTCTTGCCCCTTCTTCATGAAGGTCATCAGCATCAGATTCTGTTCCTGAATGTTCTTGCTTCTTTGAATTAATGTAATTTATATTCCGAATCACCACCTTCCCTGATTTTCTTCTTCTACCTGATTTTTCAATTTCTCTTTCCTGATCTTCTGATTCGGAGTCCTCGCTACCAGATGAATGATGTTTCCGAGCCTTTCTTTGGCCAGAACTACGTCTAGAATCATCGGTAGACGGATAGGGAGATGGATATGGACTAGCTCCTGGATAGCCCGGGTAGTACGGCATGCCCTGCATCGTATATCCTTGAAATACAGGAAAGGTACCCGGTGGAGAGTGAACTGGCCAGGGTGCATACATCGGCTGCGGATGCTGCCCTTGCACATATTCTTGATTTCCATTTGGTTTATTATCTGAAGGAGACTTCGCATCTGGATACAAGAAGTTTCTTGAAGTGAATATCAATTAAGCAAAAAGCAATGCCAAATAGTGCAAGGAAAAATATTCAACTCTCAGCTACTATGACTCATAAGGATCATCTTACCACTATTTTCAGGTGTCCCAGGCATATTAGCAGCATTTGCGAACATAATCCCTGAGTCGTTCATTGCAGAGATATTTGGATGTGTTGCTATTACTTCTGTTGCTTCAATTTCAACCCACTGGCCAGTTTCGTGCTTTTTCTTCCACAAGTCCACAAATTTCAAACACGCATCCCTATAACATTGTTAAAGCTAAACATGAGAACTATGTCTATAAAAAGATTCTTTCAAACTTGAAAACAATCAAGGATATGAGCTTGTTGGTTACGAAAAATGGAAGAAATTGGTGAAAAATATAATCTTCTCACATCAAACGAGTAGCTCCAAAAGTTTTGGCAAAAGATATTAGAGGGATCATATCATCAGCCTCAAAACCAGCTGCCACAGCACGTGCAAAGGCCATTCCTTGTTCTTTTTGCAACATTATCTTCCGTGTCTCCAGAACTTTCATAACTTGAGCTCTGATAACAATTTCACATATTACCGATTAGATATTTGACGACTCTCTTTGATAAAAACAAAGAAAACAAATATTTTTCATGCAAAGGGGTATACTTAGAGTTTTCATCTGATGAGGTAGATCGATTTGCTTGCTTTGGATGTGAATCAGGCTGTTCAATATGCACGGAGATGATATAAGTTGTTTGTTCCAAAGAAAAAAAGATGAGAAGAAAACCCTTTAAATTATAGAAACCATTTCAGTGCTAGTTAACCTCGTAAAGGACAATAGCTTTCTCTTCGTTGAGCTGTAGCAAAGGCCTGCTACCTGATTCACATTCTCACAAATTGGTTAAACTGAAAGATAAAGAGCCAAGAGGCACACTATTTTCCATTTTATGAGTTGAGATTTGATTAATATCAGTCAAATCCTGAGACGAAAAATATTGTTTTTCCAAATGTATAGCTTTAGCATAGAGACTCATAAATTACAAAATTTAATCGTTATAGCATACCTTCTGTACTATCTGCTTTTTTTGCTCGCTGATCGTCTCTCACCTGTTAATACAATATAACATTAAGTACTTTTGAGTTCTGACCATACACCAAACAAAGTATTCAAAAATCCCAATATACTTACAACAGTCAATGCCGTTTCAGAGTTGTTCTGAATACCAATGGCTTCCTTAATCTGAATGATCTCAGTTTCTAAAGTGTAAACACGTTCTATGACTTCCGGTGTGCTCACAAATCGAACAAACCTAACAAGAACAAAAGAAGAAAAAAAATGCTCATCTCAAAGTGTCCAACCCCAGCACAACAAGTTCCATATAAAGACAACTAATGTATTTGATAGAGACCTTTCAATTGTTCCTTTAGTGAACCAGGCTGCATTATCACTAGCTTCAGGCTTGAGAATAATTGAGTAACCACCTTTTTCTAATTGATCTTTTGCAGTCTTTAAGTGGGCAAGAAAAGGATCAAGTAACCCTGTAGCTATTTTCTCAGTCTTTCCATTAGCTGTTACCAACAAATCGCACCTGAAACAACCGCAAAGAAAAGACTTTAAATTTTCCATTGTAATTTGGTAAACAAACAAAAAAATTCAACAACTATTGATCTTATCAAGGAACCTAAAAATGTGTTCTTTCGAATTTCATAGAATAATCCTTCACAGAAGTAACACAAAATTTAACATTTTAGCGATATTCTGCTTATGTAAAGCTCACGAAAACAAGAGTTTATTATATTCAACAATTAAAAAGAAAAATTATTTTACATAAGCTGTTTACCTACCTAATCAATGCAAAGAAAAAGACTTAATTTTTCTTTGCAAGTTTGGTAACAAACCTACAAATTCAACGACTTTTGATCTTATTAATGAACCAAAAAATGCAATCTTTCCATTTTCATAGAACAATTTCTCACAAAAGTAACACAAAATTTAACATCTTAACGACTTTTGATCTTATTAGGAAACCCAAAAATGCAATCTTTCTACTTCCATAGAACAATTTATCACAAAATATAACATTTTGACGAGTTTTGATCTTATCAAGGAACAAGAAAATGCAATCTTTCAACTTCCATAGAACCAATTTCCCAAAAAAGAAATACAAAGTTTAACACTTTAACAACTATTGATCTTATCAATGACATAAAAATGCAACCTTTCGACTTCCATATAACCAATTTCTCAAACCAGTCACACAAAGTTTAACACTGCAACAATTTTGTATCTCATCAATGAACATAAAAATGCAATCTTTCGACTTCCATAGAACAATTTCACACAAAGTTTTAACATTTTGGATCAATTACCATATTCTACTTCTCTAAAGCTCACAAAAACAAGAGTTTACACGAAATTTTACTTACCGGGTTCGAGTGGGAGTGAGCTGAAAAGCAACTGAGTCAAGCCGAGTCGAAGATTTCATCGCTAAAACTTATCCAAAGATCTTCAAAACTTTTTTCAGATTAAGAAGAAATCATCCGAAGAGACACACAAAATCCAAATTAAATCAGTGAGCGATGAAGAAAGAGAGAGAGAGAAGCTTTGTCTTCATTGTCTGCTTTGGATTCCAGCTGGAAGAGTGAGAGCGAATTTTCCGAGGAAGTGTGTGAGGACTACAATGGTAATATCACGAAACATTCGGGGGTAAAATCGGAAATTTCTATGTGACCACTGGTGTGTGTGACCGTGTGAGTAATAGTGAATTAAAAATACACGAACATAATGTGTATGTCGTTATCGGCTCGATAGTAACATTCATGGCTTCTTTTTGGTGACCTTTTTCGTAATCTCTCAATCTCAACGGTAACATTAGTTAGACCATCTTTATCGATAGGTTTTTAGAAGAATTTTAGGTAAATCTTAAGTATTAAGATGTATTTAATTAAATGGCAAATGGTTATTATTGTTAAGAAACGTTTCTTACTTAAGAGCCAAAAGTGTCTGTAAGAGGCGGACGCATGGCGTTTGTACATTGGTCGAAGAAGAAATATAAAAAGGCAAAATAATTCTCTCTCTTCTCCTCATCTCTTTCTATTTTCACGCGTTTGTTTGTGTGGAGAGGCGACGAAAGAGGCGATTCTCTCCCGTGTTTACCGACGGCGGCTCTCCACGGCGCATGTGGGTCATATAATCGGTCGTCGTCTTCTTCGTTGGCTCAATCGGTTCCTGGTTTCTCTGCTCTGATTCGTATAGAGAATCGTCGACCACCGGTTAATTCGAATTTGCTTCCTCGGAGAACAGAACTTACTCTACCGCCGGTGAAGAGTAGAAACGCTGCCGTTTACGCTGGATCAGTGGTTAGAGGAAGTGTTTCAGCGAGTGCTGGTGAGAAGATAGGTATTGGGATGATTTTAAGAAAATCTCTATGGCTGCTGCTTCAGCTATTAATTTTGTATACCTGAGACATTGTCAAAGCAAATTGATTTCCCACAGATGATGAATCTGAACAAAAATAAAACTAATTAGTAGCAAATATTGGTATTCATGGTAAGTAGGAGGTCCTGGTTACTTTTCTCTCCTAGATGTTGTTGCTTTGTTACTTCTGTTTCTTGTAATTATAGCTTGAGTCTGGAAAATTTTTTACAATGACTGATGTGAGCATTAGTGCTTTATGAGCTAGAAAGTTGAATCCTTTTTTTTTGTTGCTAAGCATGAGTGCTTTGTGAAGTGGCACCATGAAGGCTTCCTCTATTCCTTCTATTTGAGTGTGATGCACGATGATGGCTTCCTCTATTCCTTTTCTTAGTTTGTATATCCTCTCTCTCTCTCTCTATATATATATATATATATACATATATATATATATATATATATATATATTTTCAACCACATATTAACTAACAAATAACTCTATTTTTAGTTAATATGTGGTTGAAAAAAAACAAAATATATATATATATATATATTAACGTCTAAAAAAATTTATTAATATGAATCAGAGTATACAAAATTATCAATGAGATTACAGATACAACCAATAGTTTGTGTAACGAAGAAACGATAAAGCAAATTACGAGCCACTTTCTTAGTCAAATACTTAATCGTCTTCATCATTGCCGTCCATTTGGTGTGACTTTCTTGCTTGGGAATCATTTTCATTTACTGATAAAATACTGGTAACGCATATAAAAATCATAGGCATCGATCCATCTATTACATCGTAAAACCTTCGAATTGATCGAAATTCTCATGTAAAAAGAAAAATCATTAATCTTGGTCATAATTAAAACCCATTTTTGTTGATATGGTATAAACAAAAATAATTAATCTTGGCCGGCGAGGCCAACGCTGGTCGGAATTGCAGCAATCACCGGTGTTGGCTTGAAGAAAACTGTTTTCGATCGTCGCCCCTTTTGGCTTATAATAAATTATAGATATCCACTATAATATTAAAAGAGAATTTTTGTTACGATTTGGCAAACCCACAATTTTTTTTCAGCATTTTCATTTTTTATTTTTTCAAGTCTACTATAACATTAGCTAGACACAAATTTCTTCATCCTATTCCATACCTTTAACCAAACAGACATAATTATTTTATAATATCTATAGTTACCATATATTGATAATTTTAAATTCCTCCATTATTTCCTAATTTAGCTATTTCGAAATTTTAAAAATTTAATGAATTGATTTTAAAACATAAATTTCTATACGACCTAAAAACTAACAAAGTTCTCTATTATAAATACTAAGCTTTTTACTATGCTTTTCATCACCATTATCATTTTCTCAATAATTACCAATGAAAAATGACCAATCTTCTATATATTAAAAAAAGTATTTATTACTAACGTGACAAGCCCACATTTTTTCTCAATTTGTTTTTTATTATTATTCCAAACACTTTAGTTACACTATTCTTATACTTATTATTAGTGTAAAACTAAAAACAAACACAGTTTAACATTAAATAAAACAATTATTTATATAATCTAAAATTTATACAACTGTCATAAAAGACTAGGCTTTGATATCTCGAAAGTAAACTATAAGAAATTAATATATTACATTTCTTTTAAATTATTTAATTTTATTTTTTGGTTGTGTAAAATCATTTCAATTGGGATCCAACAAACATCAACATTTTATTCTTAAAATTTCCAGTGCTTACTAAAAAACAAATTGGAGAGAATAGTTAACATAACTTGGAAAATATACCTTTATTTATATACATATGTATAACCTTTTAAAGTATATTTAAAAAAACTTAATTGTACTATACCATATATATATATATATATATATATATATATATATATATTAGGGCAGTTACTCGCGCCTTGCGCGGTAAGTTGATTTTTCAAAAAAAAATTCAAATTATGAAGATTAAAAATGGTTTACTAACTTTAAAATACGATCGACTTATTACAAATTTCAAACATAACGTGTATGGTATAAATGATTTATCCATCAATTATAGCTCATAAGAACACCAAACAAATCAAACATTTTTTAAAACTTCTCCATGACCCATTCAATCATCCGACTCTGAATATATTGCATTCTTTGTAGCCCAAGTGAAAGCCATCGAGAGTGTAATAGGTATGGAAAACTTGCTAGGTTATTATCCGAAACAAATGCGACCATCCGATCTTATATATAATGATAAACCCTGCATATTACCGTTCCGTGATCTCTTTAAGATTGTAAAACTACTGGAAACATTGAAATTTTGATGATAAAAAGTTAGTTATGAGATTTCAAAATTCGACCATAATATTACAAAAGATGAAGCATACTGTCTCTAAAAATAAATAATTATACATTACTTAAACCCCATAACAACACAAGACTCATTGATAATATTTGTAGAAAATTTCATGATCACTCAATCATCCAAATCGGAACATCTTGAATTCGTGGCGGCCCAAGCATAAGCAGTGGAGAGTGTACTATATATATAAAATTGTAATAGATCATTAAACATATGAATCACGTACATGCGACAATTATATGATTAGAAATACCGAATATTACCGTTCTTTGATTTCCTCAAGTTCGTAAAACTTCGGGTCAAGATAAAATCTAGAGCATCCAACCTTATTCATGAGACATGGTTTTCCTGTAAAATATTCAATCCGATGAGAGATAATAAGATAATAGCCGGTTAAATTTTGGGTATTGGAAAATACGATGAAATATATAAGTCAATACCTTTATACTCTTCAACATGCCAAAACCTCAAAACACAAAATACTGGATCACGAAGGTACGAATGACCATATTCTCTGTTTACCCATACTCTCATAAAATAATCGGCTAAATCTCCTATCGCGCAACATCTCAATCTCAATCCCCTATTAATTTTTCAAACCAGAACCAAAGTCATAAATAAATGAATTCTGGCATACAAATTGAAAAATAAACTCACCTATGATTCTTTATGACGAAGTAGATACAGTTACATCCTATACCCCTAGTATTGTCCAGAAACATAAGGGATCCGTATGAGGCGGTCAATATAAACGATAAATCCCACCGTATCTAGATTTTAAGTATTCGATTTATTAGCTATCCCATTGTTTCGTTAGAACGGGAAATAAAAATTTGGAATAAAAAAACGTACCAATCGGAATTTCGGTCAGTATCCTCCATCCCCTTATGCGGCTAAATCTTTCAGGCTCAATACACTTACTTGGTGACCGCTCATACGTGCTGGTCATTTTAGTTGGTCGATGGAACCATATACGGAACATGTTGGACGTGTTACTCATCAACTCCGGCAAGTACAGAACCAAAAAATCGAATAGAAAATACCATGTGTCCTCTCTTAAGCCAGTTATATTATCATGATCAAACGAACCACCGGTAATAGTAGCTTCAATCTTAGTCTCCTAAATAATAAGAATAAGATAAGCATGAAGTTTGTAAGGCAAATCACGATAAAAAAAAAAACAAAATTCTGAACGTGAAAGTAGTGTTTAACCTTTAAATCCGCAAGAATCATCTCTAACTTCTGGTCGGGCCTCCCAAAATTCTCAAACCAAAAAACCAAAACCTTTACACAAATGACGCGATTTCTATCATAAGGGGTAAGATCATCGACCCTCGTCAAAGGCGGCATTGTTTTTTTTAAATACGTTGATGTATTTATAAATTTGTTCGTTTGAGCGTTAGCTCGTTTACGTGTTTTATGAGGTAACTGACCAAAGCAAAAGGTGATATATATCGGGTAAAGACAAAAATACATCTCGAAAAAAATAAATAATAATAATCGAAATCTTTAACATGCACTCGTCCAAAGACCGTGTCATTGTGATAGACAATACACTGAGGACTTCGTTTGTTGTGAATGACAATACTCCCGATATGTCCAAATTATTTTAAAACAAAATCTTGTTGAGTCAATAATAATTTAAAGTGATAAGTTAGAGACATTCAAGGAATATATAATATATGGATATAACAACACATATATTTAGATGTATTAACCCGTAGCAAAAGTATGTGTCATATAATGGTTAGGTTCAAAACAAATAAATAACAAAACTTAAAACTATCATTAAAGAAAAAATGAAAGTAACTAATTCGTAATAACTAAATAAACTCGCACTCATTATTGCCCGCCAAAGAACCTCCGCATGACCGTAACCTCGGGACAAATATGATTGA